ATTCTTAACCTCCAAGGCACACAAACATACACAGCGATGTCTCTTGACCACAACATAGGCTGAAGATGAGCACCAAACCACCAGATTTTTAATCCTAGATCTTCTCAATGCTAGTTCCTGTAAAGATTTGTCTATATATTCTGAAAGTGCTCTTCAATGGAACTCCAATGTCCCATTTCTCTGCTACTAGAAGCTGATAGGAGTGACGTTCTTTGTATAATACTTGAATAAAATACAGTACTGAGCAATTTCATTTTAATAAAGTCAAGAAAAATTAAAACAATTCAGTATACTATGAAGGGCACACTGTAAAAACAAAACTAATTAAGCAACAGACTGTAAATTACACAATACACAGTAAACACCTTTATGTTAACTAACATTTGCTTGGATAGATTGAAAACGCTAGGTATTTGCACTATGCATTACCTTATCTGTGTTAAAAATGTATAGTCCATGTTTCCAAACAATATGTATGTATGTATATTTTTCTATTTAGATGTGTGTGGATGTATAATGGATATTATTTGGCATTATATAACCGGATTTGCATACAGGAGTTCCAAATGTATGCATATATACTATATAAAGCACTGGTTTCAAAATGGGGAGCAGGTTTAATGCCTGAAAAAAAACACATTACAAAACATTGTTCAACAAAGAAAAATAGACTTTTGTACTCACTGTCCGTTAAGCTGGACAGGAAGTTTTCCATCTTCAGGTTATGCCGTCACCTACAGAAGAATCGGCTACTGACAAACAAAAATCCTGAAGGGCAGCCCAGGATAACACCTTCTACTACCAGCATGACTCGGTTTTGTAAAAAAGAGAAAGAACCGAGAGTATTATCATAAACACAGAGGGGTGGGACCAGTGTTCCTAAATGGTAAGCACAAAAATTCTATTTTCTTTTTTATCTATTGCAGGATGTCTTTCACCATAAGGATGTCAAAACAGTCCAACTAACAGGCCTAAGAAAAACAACAGATAAACTTGCTACTGCCTGCAACTCAAAGAGCCAGGTGAATGACCTGACACCTGAAATTAACATCAGATGATACTGCAATGCAATGATAGAACTTAAAGTGGAACTTCACTTTCTCAATCCACATCGATTATTTTGAATCCTTACGCTGCCAGCATTGGTAAATACATAGGAAAGTGTATATATATTTTTTTGCCTTTCTTCAGTTACTTTCTGGTTTCCTGCCTAGGCAAATTACATTATACATCCCAAGAGTCTTCGGGGGGGTTCTCAGCTAAGCACACACTTCTGCCTGTATGCCTGAGCTAAGGGCAGATGAATTCCAGCAAGTAAATGCTACTTGAATCATCTGCCCAAGATGGCCACAGCCAGAAATCCTAGGGGGGTGTTTTTCAAAGGGATTTGTCAGCAAAATAAAGCATGGAAACATGGATGGATGGGGGAGTTTGCTTTGAATATTACAAATTAATTAAATAGCGTTTTCGGTTTGTGGTGTTCAGATGCAGGGTAGTTCCTCTTTAATGAATTTGTGAACACAAGACCAAGTACCAGCCTTGAAAATCTGGGAAACAGTTTCTTGATGTGAAAAAGCCAAAGAAGCACATACAGATCTAGTAGAGTGCGCCTTGATAGAAGAGGGTGGAGCCCAAACCTTGAAACCATAAGCTTGGATGATGATCTCCTTTTGATAATTTGGAGTTGGACAGAGAGATGGAATACCGATGTCCTGGTTGAGGTGAAAGGCAAAAAGGATGTTTTTGAACTCAACACTTGCAGGGGTAATGGCTAAAAGGATTACCACCTTGTCCGTGAGAATAGAGAGAAGAATGTCTGTAATGGGTTCAAATGGTGGTTTCTGAAGAGCGTAGAAAACCAGAAAAAGATCCCAGGGGAACAAACAGGGGGAACTACATTGGCCTTAATCAAGTAGTGGGAGGCCAATGGTCTCAGAAAAAGAGAAATGTCAAAAACCTGATCTTTGAAATTGCTGAGTCTCAAATACTGGTCCAGACTCAACTGTTGGAACAATGGGCTTCAACAGCCACGCTGACAAACTCCAGTGACCATGAAGCAGTATGGCAAATCGGACCTTGAGGCAGTGAACCTGGATGATCTGGTAGAGCCCATAGAGTGTCCATATCTGCATGGGTTAACCTGCAGCAAAGAGAGTCACCACATTGCTCTCCATCTCCTATCTGCAAAGCAGGCGAGAAAGTCGTTTTAGGGAAAGAAAGGCATAGATCATCGAGTAAGGATCCCATCGAGTCACCAGAGCACCCACTGCTTCCGCTACAGGATCCCTGTACCTGGAGACAAACCTGTCCACTTCATTGTTAAACATAAAGACCAAGAGGTCGCCCTCCAGCATCCCCCACACATCTTTGAACACCTCCAGGTAGGGACCACTCCCCTGATTCCAGATATTGCCAGCTGAAGAAGTCTGCCTGCCAATTGTCCACACCTGGATGTACACAGCAAGACTTCTGGTTCCTCTCTGATGGTTTATGTATGCCACTGCTGTGGTGTGGGCCAATTAAATCTGGATTGGATGACCCTCTAGAAGGTTAGTCCAATGCTGCAAAGACCAAATTACTTTGAAGATCCAGAACGTTGATCAGGAGTCAAGACTCCTTGATGACCAAGTTCCCTGAACTTTTCAATACAAAAGTCAGATTGATGAGCCATTATTCCAGGGACAACATGGTCCTCGGTGCTCAATAAATTGGTCTGTTCAGGAAAGTGACTGATTTGTTTCAAGATGATAGAATGTAGAATTGTGGAGATCTGGACTGAAACTGGGTAAATGGGAATGCGTAAAAAACTCTTTAAGTCGAACGACTCCTGGAATGAAAAGCTTAAATCTGAGATCTGAAGAGAGTTTCCCCTGTGGGAGAAACACTCTGGCCTGTGCCAGTAGCACCAAACAACTCACTGAGCCATCTGACGTGATGTAAATGCCTGGACAGTCAAAGTAACATAATCCAAAAGAGCCTGCGTCAACTGTTTTCTAAACAGGTCATCTAATTATGCCACAATGGGGTGCTTGCAAAAGTGTAACAGTGCTAGTACTGGGACCAGCACCTTGGTGAATGCCCAAGGAGCAGGTGATGTCATGAACTGACAAGGTACGGGGTCCTACCCCAAATCACAGGAAACTGTGCTGAATGAAGATGTTTGGTGCTTTCAGGTTCAAGGTGGGGTGCTTTGGGTTTGGGAACCTGGAACAGGTTGGAGTAAAACCCCTGAAAATGTTTTGCCACAGGATTGTGGCAATGACACTTGATCTAAAAGAACTGAAAGGGCTTGATGGAGATCTGCTAATTTGTCTGGTCACAAAGGAAGGTTGCAGGTGAGAAACCAAGGTGAGGGTAGGAAGCCAAACTCTAGCTTGTAGCACATGGAGACCACCTCCTGTACCTAGGTGTTACTCTGAAAAATGGAGTGTGACTTTCATGCTTAGGAAAATTTGTCTGGATTCGGGGGGGCTTTCGTCCTCAGAATTTGCACTAGGGGACAAACTTGGGGGGTCTGGACAGGGTGTGTGGGGGGCTGATGGGAAGGTACATTAACCATCACACCTTTGGCACAAATACACCAGAAGCTACAACCATCTGCCACGGTGGATGCAGATCACCACCAGCTGGAGCAAAGCTGCTGCAGGCATATGAGGGGGACACTGTGACAGACCATCAGATTTGCTGGTCATATGTGCCCCCTACGGATTGAACCCCACAGGATGCCCATTAAGAAACTGGGCAGTTGCAGCTAAACCTGCACATGCTTGATAGATGGCTGAAACTAGAAAAAAAACTACCAAGATCTATATTATATATGGCCTGTCACCCAGCCAGCAACCTGCTTGGAGACAAAAAAAAAAAAAAAAAAAAACAAGAACAAAGGACTTTAGGATATCCAAGAGGAAAGTTATGTGCTTTATGTCTGGATGTTGAACAAATAAACAAGTTGTCAACAGTTGTGGAGGGGGTTTTGGCCACCAGCAGGGCCCCCTAGGCAGTCTCTGTTTTTTAATGCACCTAACTTTCTACACTTGCAGGTGGTGATATAATCAGTATCTAAAGTTGAGCTGTGTCCCCCAATAAACAAATGAGAATATAGATAAGTAATTTACGCAACATAGCTAAAGAAAAGACATCCATCCTCCTAGCAAACTAGCATAAAACTCAGGGATGTTTGTAGTAGGGGGGTTGCCCTGAGCTGGCCTACATGATTTTTTTTTTTTTTTGCCACTGTAGAATCCTCCCGCAGGTGCCAGTATAACCCGAAGGTTAAAGAATTCTTGTATTCTTTAACGGACTAGAAAGAAAAAAAAACTGAACAAGCTGACAACTCAAAGACAACTCAAAGTTTACATTTCAAGAAAAAAATCTTTATACATTTTTTGTATTGTGTGTTACAGATGAATGCTTGTGTACATAACTTCACAATCTGTGTGTGGACTATTTAATGCACAACATATATGCATACATATATAACAGCTTTTTTTCCCCCACAGAGTATGTAGAGTGCTACATATATAGCAATACTTATTGCGTCCAACCAATTACATTCCAACACAGAAAACTATGCCATTAGATTTGTGTATGTCAAGCATTGCACTGTAAACACTACTGGAAAGAAAGGTGTTGTATAATGTACTGGTACTTATGCCAAAAGCCATGTGGAAAATAAATGTTATAATGAAACGAAGTTTGGAGGCAAGGCCTAGACACACCTTGCCTACTGTGAAGCATATTAAGCTTTGGGGCTGTTTTGCTTCTGCAGGTACAGGGAAGCTTCAGCGTGTGCAAGGTACCATGAAAGTACCAGTGATATTGGATGTTCATCCGTCACACACCTGAGGCTCCTTTCAATGATCCCAAGCTTCCAAGTCCACTAGAGCATGGTTGCAAGGAAAGGCTGGAACATTTTGGAGTTCCAGTCACATTTTCCGATTGAGAACCTTTCTTGTCCGCAAGCCTAAGAATGTGACTGAACTCCTTTGCCCATCCGAAGATACCCGTAAACCAGAGTCACTATTGTCCCGTGGAAATAAATGTTATAATTGAAGAAGTGCAGACACACCTATTAAGTTTTATTTCAAGCTTCTAATATAAAACTCTGCTTTGTCTTGTAGATCGCAGAGGTTCCATATCCAAAACCTTGTGAATCTGTCTAAATGATATCATCCTGAGTGCTTGCTGAAAAAATCAATTTGTTTGTTAGTATTTGTAATGTTTTTCAAATAGAAACAAGTTTTATTCTACTTACAATAAAATCCCCATGCTACGAGGCTTAGAATGTGCATGCAAATATCTCTATTCCCACATGCCCCTATGGCCTTGACAGAGGTGATCCTGGGCTCGGACCCAATGAAGTTGATTTCAGATTTATACAACATATTACTGATGCCCTCTGTGACTAAGCTGGCTTACCTAATTAAAACTAGATGACTTGATAATTAAAAATGACTTGAGAAGAGACCATTTTGTCATTGTCTAGTATTTCTTCTAACTCATTTCCCTCTACATTTCCCAAGTTCACAGACCATCTAATTCAATTGTATATTTTACCCAGGGCTTACCTGACTCCAGTTTGTGTTTCTCACAATAAGCCCATATGCCCCTTCTGTATACAACAAACAGGAACCTTCTTCCAACTCGTGTGGGCCTATCCAGTGGTCCAGACATACTGGACCCAGGTGATTCAATTTCTACATGATCTCTATCTCTAGACCCCAAATCCTGTCTACTTGGCCTTTTCCTTGAATATATTTCTACATGAAACACTGTTTATTCTCAAAAAGGAACCTTAAACAGCACGCCTGCAAAACTTTGCAACCAAAAAAAGCAACAGAAGATGCAGACACATCAACTCTGTAAAATTGGCAAAAGTATGCAAAGGCGATTAGGTAGCAGCCTTGCAATCTGAGATACATGCGCCCAATATCGGAAGGCCCAAGTGGTACCAATTGCCAAAGCAGGATATGCCGTAATGGGGAAGAGATGAACCCGACTGAGGGCAGACACCTGAATAGCCGTTTGCGGAATCCAATGAGGCAAGTGGCAGAGGAGGCTGCCAAGCCTTACCCCAGGCTGTCCATGAGCACCCAGGAGAGTTCGACCCCCAGAAGGAAACACACAATACACACAAGTGTAGTGCAAGCATCCTAGGGGGAGAAGGCCATGGCCATGGGGAAGGCAGGACAATATCCTCATTAATATGGAAATCTGCAACCATCTGCGGAGGACAGACAGAACAACCTCATTCCTGCGCCATATCCAAAAGGGAAGACTTACAGGACAAGGCCATCTGCCTGAGCACCCGTGGCACAGAAGTGATGATGATCAAGAAGAAGAAAGACGCAAGTGGAAGAATAACCCTACTACCCTCAAATGGACCATGAGAACCAAGTTAAGGTCCCATGGTTACAATGGAGAAACACACAGAGGGAACTACCTGGCGAACCCTTGGCTGAAGGTACGAAGCAAGGAGCTTGTGACTAAGGGAAATTGAAAGAGGATTGCCAGGATAGAACTCGGCCGATAATGGTAGTCAAGGCAGTGAAAGGGAAGGACTTTAGGGAGGGAAATCGAAGCTACCAGAGGAGAGAGGTCATATCTGGTTGTCCAAGAAAGCGGGAGATTTATCCCAGTTTGCCAGGATCTCCCTCTTCAGAACCCTCATAAGGGACTGCTGCAAAGGTGGACACCAGAATGCCCAGGACTAGCATGAAAGACCACAGGGAAAAACATCTGAGGGGCAAGAAGAGTTGGACCTCAGTACAAGTGTCCACAGTCCATCGGGAAGAATACATTGGCCTGCACCAAGTCACGGATGAGACCCAGATATTTCAGTCTCCTAGTCAGGGTTTAGGCAGACTCCTTGAGATGCAGGACCTATCCAAAGTCCTGCAGAATGCGCATCATGATATCCACGTAATCCATAAGCGCAGAGTGATCCCCTGCTTGCAAGAGCAGGCTGTCTAGGTGACCAATTACGGCAATCCCTTGACAAACTTGGTAAAAAAATAGAGGAGCAGAGGCCAAGCTGAAGGGGAATGCCATAAAATGATAATGTGTGTCCTCTTCTGCAAAGTTGCATCAAGAGATTCATAAAATGCGTACTTCAGGCCATGGCCCAACATGTCCACCATTTCTGAATACACCGGGGACATCTATTCTAATATCAAACCTTGTCCTAACATCTTGGCCCACTAAAGAAGCATCTGAGATACCCGGGTAATGGGGAAATTGTATATTTTATTCCTTATTTTTTCCTTATTAATGTTTGCCTCAAAAATGTTTAAGAATGCCTCCAAGCCCTGGTTAAAGGGCTCTACAAGGACAGGGTCTGATTACCTTAAATAACAAAGGATGTGATTAATTGGACAAGCCAAGCCAGACCACTGCTCTCCTTTTTGTCTGCATGGGGGGTGGGTTGACGATTGCTTACACACAAGTCCAGTATATAATGCAAAACTAGACTGGAAATATTTGTCTCAACCTAGAGCATGTCTTAAGCATGCGTCTAATCTGATCATTGGCCACGCCATATAATGGAATGACCTGTGGCGGAAACATCATCTTTAGTTAAGTATTCTTGTTATATTTTCTTTTTCTTTATCTGTATCTGTTTATTATAAGTAAAACATTTATTACAAGTAAGCATTTGTGTGATCTTTCTTTGAACATATCAAACACAACCCCAAAACCCTAACAAAACACCGGGCCAGGGCCAACCCAAGCCACAGATGGTAAACATATTGTGAGCATCCGAGTCTGCCTTACAGTCCACAGGATCCTGAAAGGAAGGAGATTCCTTCAGCGGACAAAAAACCTTAGCTGAACGAGCTGGCTCATGGGCAAAAAGGGGACAACCACTTCTTTCTAGCACCGCCACCAGCCCCTATTCCTGTGCTGGAACAGTGGCAGAGGGGGTGCCCTCTGAGTACAAGGACCAGTACTGAAAACCAGGCCCACCAGACCCCTAGGGAGGAGCACCACCCATTTAGAAATGGCTTGCTAGGCATGCCGGTTGGCAGGGGTGATGAATCATATGATCAACCCTCTCATTTTCTCCTGGGCAGAGCTCACCACAGAGGTTTACATGCCAATCTATTGTGAGGACCATGATGGCTAGGATTCGCCACAAGGCATAACAGGGAAGAAAGGGGGAATGAACTGCCCACGTGCCATAGGTGTTTAAAAGTGTGACTCAGTACTGATGTGACCTGCTTCCACAGAGGGATAGCGCACCATACATCGCCAAAACGGCCGCTGGTTCAGGGTACACCAAGATGGCCACGGGCGCGAAGTGCTAATCCCAGCAGAAGGGTGGGACCTTGATGACATCCCCGGTCGCCCAGCACAGCCATGCCCTGCAGAAAACAGGTACTGGATGGAGAGAATAGCGAGTGCCCAAAGATGCTGGGCGTCACAGTCTGCCCAGAAGGCCACAAAGCTGCAGCCTAAATTAAGGGAGGTAGCATTAAAATCACCACAAAAGGCCAGGAGGGGAGAAGGAACCCCCAACACAGTATCCGGGGAGGAGGGGTGCATCTACTTACCAATGCAGTGGAGCATACTGTCCCATGTCAGATCCTTCACTTCGAGTCAGCTAGGGGAAAACACTGTGACACAGACTTCGACAAGACGGCAGGGTGGGGCTGTCGCAGCCAACCCAGTGAGTAGCTAAAGGACTGTGTGCGCTTGTTGGCCAGACAGGAAAAATCCCAGGAAAAAAAAAATCTATGGAACCACAGGTCCCAGCAGGAAACCAGGTCCTTACTCATGAAACACTAGGCAGAAATATCTGGCTTGCCTATAGCTGAGAGGAGGTTTAAACCAGCTAGGACTTGCCATAGGCAGTGTTGTGTTCTTTTTCGGCCTAGTGTCCTACTCCTGTAGGTGGTGCTATAACTGTATGGTCAAGAATAGAAGAGCTGTGTCTATTAACCACTTGACCTCCAAAGGATTTATCCCTCTTCCTGACCAAGCCATTTTTTGCGATATTGCACTGTGTTACTTTAACTGAAAATTGCACGGTCATGCAACGCTGTACATAAATGAAATGTATATCTTTTCCCCCACAAATAGAGCTTTCTTTCGGTTGTATTTGATCATCTCTGCATTTTTTTTGCTCTATAAACAAAAAAAAGACCCGACAATTTTGAAAAAAAAAAACAATATTTTTGACTTTTTGCTATAAAACATATCCAATAAAAATTTTTCATCAAATCTAGTCATAAATTTAGGCCAAAATGAATTATGCAACGTCTTTGCTAAAAAAAAATCCCATTACGTGTAAATTAATTGGTTTATGTGAAAGTTATAGCGTCTACAAATGGTGGTATATATACTGGAATTTAGATTTTTTTTTTTTTTTTTTTTTATACTAGTAATGGTAGCGATTAGTGACTTATAGCAAGACTGCGGGACTGCAGAGAGCATTCTGACACTGGGCGGGAACTGACATCCCCAGTGACATTAAAATAGTGATCAGTGCTAATAAAAACCACTGACACTGTACTAATGACACTGGGCAGGAAGGGGTTAACATTTGGGTGATCAAAGTGTTAATGGTGTGCTGTGTGTGGTTTACTGTGCATGCTGTTTTACTACAGAGGCATGCTACTTTGTATTTCTCTGCTGTGCAAGGACATGCTGGCAGGAGAGAGACCTGTGATGTTTATGCACAGGTCTCTCCCCTGTCAGTTCTACAAGGCGATCTCCGGGTGCCGGCGGGGAATCTCCGGCCAGGACCCGGTGATTGACATCCCTAGCCAACAACAGCGGCGCGGGTAGGGTGGTGAGTGCACCCCCTACCTAGAAATGCAAATCACATATATATGTGATTTTGTGCAGTCCTGCCGCCATGTAGCAGTAGTTCTACTATAGGGCAGTGGGCAAGTGGTTAATGAATGCAGGTTTTTCACTTTAAATAGCTCAATGGGCCAAGCTTGCCCAAACTATTTCCATAATAGAAAGATGTGTAGACTATAGCAGCATTAGCTACATACAGTGAGTGGTGCTGTGTCCAGAAGTGGATAGGAGAGCGGATGATATCACAATCTCCACCTTGATCAATCCAAGGAAGCCTTGTATTCATTGATAAAAATACTAGTCAGAAAAGTCAGAATTCCTCATCTCCAAATTTGTTCTATGTCAGTGATACAGAAATTATTTTGAAAGGAGAACGCAGTGGAAGCCTCTACTTTCTTCTCATTAATGGCTTCTTTTAAGCCATGTCATTAGCAACACTTCATGTATATTCTGAAACATGGGCAGAAAGGAATGATCTGTGAAGCTCAACACTGAGTTAATTTAGCTCACTAAATACAACCTGGCTTTAAGATGCAATCTTCCTGACAGGATAAGCAAAACTACCTTGTTTTTTTTAAAAGAAATGTCTCAAAGACAGAGCAATTTGAACTATTTTACAGTTTTCTCTTTTACTGTAATAACATGAAACCGAATCCCCTGATTGCATACTACTGACTGGAAAGCTTGTACATGAAAGGTACACCCATATCACACATAAAAAGCAATTACTGAACAAATACATCAGTTCTGTAGACTTCTGTATAGTACCTGTGCATTTGCAGTGATGTCTTCTCGTTCTTGATTAGTGAGTGATTCTAAGACATCAAACGTGTCCTTCTGACAAGGATCTTGAAGCCCTGGACCATCTAAAATAATTATACAAGCAGATGAAAAAGTATTTAACCACCTCAATACCAGGTACATTCACCCCCCTTCCTGCCCAGCCCAATTTTCAGCTTTTAGTGCTGTCAATTAAATAACAATTGTGTGGTCATGCAACACTGTATCTATATTAAATGTTTATCATTTTTTTCACACAAATAGAGCTTTCTTTTGGTGGTATTTAATCACCATTGGTTTTTTTTTTGCATAATAAAGTCTGTAGAAAAGTTATAGTCTACAAATTATGGTATATATATATACATATATCTGAAAATGGATTATATGTACTGCATGTATTTCCTGAAACCCGAAAACTCCAGGACAGTACAAATATTCCCCATATGACCCCTTTTTGCAAAGTAGACACCAGGGGCGGACTGACAACTCATGGGGCTCCCGGGCAATAGCGGATCATGGAGCCCCTGTGTCCTTGCCCAAACTCAAAAAAGCCTACGAAAAAGGTAACAGGGGCATCTCATGGGGCCCCCTACTGACCCCGGGCCCTCGAGCAGTGCCCGAGTTTCCAAATGGTCAGTCCGCCCCTGGTAGATACTTCAAAAGACATACCGAGTTTTTATATGTAATGTTTTGTCACAATTTTTTGGAAAATTAAGAAATGTAAAAAAAGTTAAAAAAAAAAAATTTTCTCCCATTTTTTTTCTTTTTTCACATACTGTGACCAGTGCAGTATAGCCTCATCATATAACTGGTGTAGTGGTGATCAGGGACACTGACTAGTGACAGAATGCAAAAAAAATTATTGCAATTTTGTAATAATGATGATCACTGTGACCAATCACAGAGATCAACACAATAGTACACAATGGATAGCATGAATAAACACAATGGATAGCATGAATGATCACAATTGTCATGTGATCAGCTGTGACTGGTCACAGTGATCACATGGTACACTGATCGGTCATCTGCTTTGTCCAGTGGACACAGTGGGTAAAAGATCATGCTGCAGCATTGCCATGAGGAGCGTTCAGGGGAGGACGTCATAAGGCGTCCACCCAGAATGATGTACGTTCTGCCCAGCCATCAATTATCTATAGGCCGAGCAGGAACCGGTTAAACATCAAAGTTAAAGTGGCAGTAAAGGCTAATACTAACTCCCCCCCCCCCTTTTCTATCTATCCTGCATTAAAAAAAAATGTGTGTACTTACCTTAATAACAGGTAAGAACACAGATCTGTAGGAGGGGGGAGGGAACACTTTTAAGAATAGTTCATATTAGTCTCATCTTCCACTTGAAATCTGCATTCACGTCTAAACATTGCTTTTACACACATGTATTACACTCATATAATCTTTATATCAGCTGCCATTTAAAAATAAACTATGCTGCCAGAGACTTCTAAGTGATTCATGAGAGAACCAGTCATTTTCTACAAAGTAAACAGACTACTTTCATGTTACTGATGAAGTCTGATGAGCGCAGATAAGCCAGTCCACTTCATGCAACATTTTGAACAAGGACCAAGCTTAGCTTCCACTGGCTTAAAGTGAAACTTTAAATAAAATTTGAAAATATGAATTTTTATAGCAGAAGAGACTTACTATGTCATACTACTCCTACCTGTCTGTTCACAATCCTCTTCATGCTATACACTGAGCTGTGCATGTGCAGGTCGGTGTACATTTTCAGCATCTACAGGGATGAATAAACTCTCGGGCAAGCACAGGAGTAACATCATCTCTATATGGGGAATCAATATGGGCAAAGATTCCAAACCCGGAAGGGGATTAGCTGAAAATGAATGGGCTGCTACGAAGCCTCCTTAATACAGTTTAAATAAAGATCTTTTCTCTCTAAGTTAGTGTTGTTACCAAGGGGATAAAGCAATCAATTTTGAATATTACAATTTAGAATACAGTAAGTATGTAATGCAGAAAAGTTTATAACTACCCAACTAAAATCAAGGTTCAAAGACTAACCAGAAAGGAGAACTCCAGAAGCAATACATTCCAGTACTCTTCGTGTGGCTTCTGCGGGCGAAAAAGTGACGTGGACGATGAATTCAAAGCCTTCTGGACTAATAATTCCAAAGCCTAAAAGAATTACAGAAAAGGCTTGATTAACAATGCGCTTGAGAAGATACATTACACAGCAATGACATCCAACGTGTAAAATGAATCGAGTGAATTTATACTACAGGTTATTTTTTGGTGTCCTTGTACCTCTTGGAGACAACTCCAACATTTTGGATTTCACCGAACTTTCTTTCTTTCTTTGGTGACATTGGTCAAAAGAACAAAAAGAGTGAATTCTAATGGGAACACAGACACCAATAAAAACTTGACATAGTACCAAACCTTCACCAATTTATCCAAAACTAAAAATAAGTTTTGCCTAGACATACGCATCCATACAATCCACACAGCACACAAAATTGGAAGCATCTGGTGTGCTACCTCACAGGTTACAGCAGCTGGGGTTCCCAGAATTCTAGCAACAAGGAAATCTTTATTTTGTTCAAAATTGTTGACAGAATTTGGGCTTCCATACATAGCAATATGCAGCAAGTATGCAGGATGCTACTAGAGGGACTCAGCTATGAGGAAAGATTAAATGAATTGAATTTATTTTCTCTTGAGATGAAGAGATTAAGGGGATGGGGGATATGATCAACCTGTATAAATACATCAGTGGTTCATATAGTGAACTCTGTGTAGAGTTATTCACCCTGAGGTCATCACAAAGGACAAGGGGGTACTCTTTACGTCTAGAGGAAAAGAGGTTTAATCTCCAAATACGGAAAGGTTTCTTCACAGTAAGAGCTGTGAAAATGTGGAATAGACTCCCTCAAGAGTTTGTTCTGGCCAGCTCACTAGATTGCTTTAAAAAAGGCCTGGATTCTTTCCTAGATACACAGACTATAACTGGATACTAACATTTATAGGTAAAGTTGATCCAGGGAATATCCATTTGCCTCTCGGGGGATCAGGAAGGATTTTTTTTCCCTGGAGGAGCAAATTTGAATATGCTTTGCTGGTTTTTTTTTTTGCCTTCTTCTGGATCAACTGTGGATAGAGGATTATAATTTTTTTTTTTTTGGTTGAACTAGATGTACTTTTGTTTTTTTTCAGCCAGACTAACTATGCATTTTTTGGTTTTGAGACTATACTGGTCATAGGCCTGTTTACTTTTAATGAAGCTATGAATGGCAGCTCCTATATTTTAAACCTCAAAAGTTCAGAAAGTATGGAAGTCAGGTACAGCCAGGCAAATCATATTCATATGATAAGAAGTTATGGCAGTCCCCTTATTTCTATGGTTGTAGCTTTCCTACTGCCTGCTGTCATAGCAATTGAGTCTCCCTGTGGCAGCAGAATGTATTTATTTCACATGAGAAGAGCACCGAAAGAAAGGGAACCTTTTAAACAGCAGAAGCAAAGGCAGAACCAAAACTGTTGGCAATATCATGGGAATCCCAAAATAAATGCAAGGACCCAATAAATCAACTTGTATGCACACCCTCAAAAATCAGTTTTGGGTGAACTTAGCATTTAGTATTTTTTCTGAACAAATGCTTTTTTGCATACTGTAAATTCTTTTCTTGTTAATTCGGGGGTGGGGTGGGGCATTAGGACTCTTGTGAGAGTTGTTGCCCACAGTGACTAATCAGGCTATATATTATGTTATATTATTATTATTATACAGTATTTATATAGCGCTAAAAGGTTTGCTCAGCGCTGTACATTATAGTGGGGGACAGTACATGAGACAATACAGTAACAAAACAAAACATGAGGGGGTCAAGGGCCCTGCTCTTTCAAGCTTACAATCTAGGAGTTATATGGGAAAATTAAACAAATCAAACTGGACAGTATAAGTAACAACTCCATTTCCCCCCATGTTTATTTAAAACTAAAACAAATATTGACAAAATAATTTTCCTAGTCATCCAGAAACACACACTCGCAATGTATTTAAAATCCCATTGTCCCTTACCCAATCAGAAAGAGCTGTCCATGCCGACACTCTCTGACGCAAGTCACGAAAAATGCGAATAACAATAACACAAGACTGCAAATCACTTGCATGAGACTGGAAAAGATGTATTAGAAAACAGTAATTAATTTATTATGAAATTTTCACAAATACTTTATTTACCTTTTAAAATGGAGAGTATATCTGTTATTTATATTGTAAAAGATTAACCACTTCTGGACACACACACACATACTTACAGGCCCATATATATTTGGACACAGGCACAATTTTAGATTTTTTCAGGTATTTACCAAAACATATTCGCTATAGTTATATAATGTTATATAATGGATATGGGATGAAAGTGCACACTCTCAGGTTTAATTTGAAGGTATGTACAACCAAATTGGAGGAAGGGTTTAGGAATTACAGCTCTTAAGAATAGCCATCCCCCTTTTTTCAAGGGACCAAAAATAATTGGACAATTTAAATCAAAAGCTGTTTCATGGCCAGGTGTGGGCTACTACTTCGTTATTTCTTCATCAATTAAGCAGGTAAAAGGTCTGGAGTTGATTCTAAGTGTGGTATTTGCATTTGGAATCTATTGCTGTGAACCTACATCATGCGTTCAAAGGAGCTGTCCATGCAAGTGAAACAGGCCATTGTAAGGCTTCAAAAATGAAACAAATCCATCAGAGAGATAGCAGCAACATTAGGAGTGGCCAAATCAACAGTTTGGTACATTCTGAGGAAAGAACGCACTGGTGAGCTCAGCAACATAAAAAGGCATGGACGTCCACACAGAAGACAACAGTGGTGGATGATCGCAGGATCCTCTCTATGGTAAAGAAAAACCCAACATCCAGACAAGCGAAGGACACTCTCCAGGAGGTGGGCATATAATTGTCAAAATCTATTACTATCAAGAGAAGACTTCACGAGGCCAACGACAAATTTAAATCACAAGGGCACAAGGGTAGCCTGACAGCAGGGACTGTACGAATGACACCCTGTACAAAGGCTCGAACCAGGGAGTGCAAAGCAATTGGCCTTTGAAAGAATACAGACAAAGCTGAAATCTGACCTTTATGGTGCCCAAGGCCAACCTCATTTACACACTTGAGTGGAGAAAATAGAGAATCCTTCCAATCACATATTTCCTGGGATGCCATCCTTTGGTCTCACACCATGAAATGTAAGACTTCCAGACTCTGTAATAGATGTTCTTGGAAACCGGCTTCCTAGCATTCAACAGTGTAGAAAAAAACTGGACCCGAGACCCCTCGGTCCCTCAAGATCCTGGCTTCAATAGTCACATTGTCAAATTTAGTGACCATAAAGCAGGGTCCTGGGCCCTGAGACAGTAGGTCTGCCAGGACTGGAAGGGCCCATGGACCATCCACAGCTAGTTTTACTATATCTGCGTACCAATCCATCCTGGGCCAGGCCAGAGCCATCAAGATCACAGGTGTTACCTCCTCTTGGATCCTGCACAAAAGGCATGGCAGGAGCTGAATAGAAGGGAAGGCATGAATTAAGGAGAACTGATCTCAAGAAGTCACCAGAGCATCCACCCTGAATGCTTGCCCTTGCTCTGGACATGAACTTGTACACCTTGTTTTTGAACTTGGATTCCAACAGACCTACGTTCGTGGTACTCCAACGCTAGCAATTTCTGTGAATATCTCAGGGTGTAGGGTCCACTCTACTAGAACCAACTGCAGGTGATGGAGAATCAACCTGCCAGGTCTCTACCGCCAGAATGTAAACTGCTGAAAGAAACGGCAGATGAAGCCAAGCCCAAGCTAGATGTGATTCACCTCCTCCTGGGCCATCCGGCTGCTGGTGCCTCCTTGGTGGTGGATATAAGCCACGACCGTTGCGTTATCAGACTGGATGATGACCGGATATACATGTAACCTGATCGCCCAAAACTTCAGAGCAAAGCGAACCGCCTGAAGCTCCAGGATATTGATGGGCAGACTTCTTCTCTGGCCGAGCCCACTTCCCTTGGACTGTGGCTCCCTCCAGAACAGCCTCCCAGCCAAAAAGACTAGCATCCGTGGTTGCTATCTTACAACCGGAAGAGAAATCTTCCCTATTTCCAGAGTGCAAGCCACCAACCACCAATTCAGACTCTGCCTTACCCTGGGAACAGAGACATGTGACAATCCAAAGCTTGGAACTTCTTTTTCCAGACAGACAGAATGTTTCTCTGCAATGGTCTGGAGTGGAACTGTGCATAGGGAACTGCCTCAAATGTCGATACCATCTTCTCCAACAACCTCATGCAGAGGCATATATAGATGGATATCTTTTTCTCCTCAGCACCTGATCTTTCAGAGCATGGCATTTCCTGGGGGCAGGAAGACTTTCGCCTGCACCATAACCAGGACCGACCCCAAATATTCCAGACTTTGAACTGGCTCTAAGGCCGAAACCCTAGAAGTTTAGGATCCAGCCTAAGTGTTCTACAACATGTACTGTATGAGCCACATTTTGCTTTAAGCTCAGAACAAACTGTTCCCTGAGAAATAGGTCATCCAGATATCCTAGTACCAATATTCCCTGGGCTTTTAGTAGGCCCAATACTGGAGCCAGAACTTTTGCGAAAACACGAGGGGTTGTAGCAAGCCCGAAGTGCAGAACCACAAATTGAAAAGGATTACCTTCTACTGCAAACTGCAGAAAAGAACAAACAGAAATTGGTTCAGAGCCTTGAGATCTAGTATAGGCCCCACAATTACCCCTTGGGACAGCAATCGTTCGAGTGCTTGAAATAAAAAATTTCTCTGCAGTTGGTTTCTGGGTACATTAGACTTTAAAAACCCGGAAGGGGGAAGAACCCAGAACTCTAGTCTGTACCCCTCAGAAATCGTGGAAATAACCCACTTTTCCCGGGCACTTGAAAATGACAAAAGTCTCCCCCGCACCCTTCATAAAGAGAGCTTAGGGCCAGCCTTAGCTGATTTCTGAACCCATGGTTTCCTTTGCCCTTCAGGCTTGCTCTAGATCCAGATGCCTCTGGGCGCCGAAACTGCCTGGCAACTGAGGCTGTAGCACAGCAGGAGTACATGAACCCATCAAACAGGCGCTCACCATGAAAGGGGAATCCAAACAGTTAATTTTTACACAGTAATTTCACTGACCAGCTTTTCAAGATCCTGCGCATGTGTACTGAAAGAAGAGCCAATTGTGAAACCTGCAGTATAGGTAGGGGGAAATCCAGTCACCTCCTCAGCAGAATCCTCTCCCTGACCAGGAAGATTCTTAACACGATCCTTCTTGGATTGACATACGCTAACTGCCGCCATCGCAGGTTGTGCGGCAGACTCAGCAAGAGCAAAAGAAGCCTTCAGTAATGATTCCAAATTATTTGCCAGATCACTGAACACTTGGGCACGGCAACCGCCAGCATGCTCCATTTTTTAACAAATGTTTCCTCCATCGGATACAGCACGGAAAACCTCTTGGGAGGAGCAAATAATCTTTTACGCAGGTGACCCCAGTCAGCATGTACTACCTGCTATAAGAGTGGATGCAATGGAAAGGCTTGAGCATTCTGCAGAGGCTGCATCGAACTCAAGGAGGAGTAGGAGGCCTCAGAAGCTTCCAATGGAAGCAATCTCAATCCAGAGCGGACCGTTTCCGTAAGGGACTGAACCAACAATCTCTGGGACTGAGAGGTTAGCAACACTTGGTCCTCCTCAAGTACTGACTTCCCTGAAGCAGGACCTTTCTCCAGCTTAACAGCGACCTTCCTCTATATCCTATACCCATTCCTGCTTCAAAACAGGAGGATCAGGGTAGGGGGATCTTTCACATTTCTTCCATCCCTGCATAACAGAGGAAATCATGCCAGCCATTTTATTCTCCAATCCAGCCAAGGCAGATGCTAAATCATCCTTAGTAACATATGCTGAAGCAGACACATTGGTAGTAGCCACAATAACAGACAAGCAAAGTGGCTTCGATTGCTCAGTCGCCTCTGGTCTTTCAGGGAAAGTCAATACAGTGGAACTCAGACTAGGATCTTCAGGACCTGATGATGGTGCACACGTGCCCCGTCCTGCTGTGGTTTCCCCACTCCGCTTTCTAGAAGATATTACTCTTAATTGAATTTACAATAATGCAACTGGGGCTTGTGATAAAAAAAAAACCCTCATTATTCCACCAGTACAGCACCCCACCATGCAAGGCTGTAATCCAGCATATAGCAGCTATCACAGCCTACACCGCCAAAAGATGCAGTACTACAGCAGGAGCAAGCCAAACTGCCAACTGTGACCATACCCAAACAAGGACTCACGTGCTCAAAAGAATAGCCTACTCTGTGTTCCTTCCAGCCGCCTCACAGGAGCCCCATGTGTAAAAAACTATCCACTTAAGTAAGCTGGCCGGTATTGTGCATGCACAGCATGCCACTTGAATGCCCACTGTGCGTGCCTACGAATAAAAAGCTACTGCGCCAAGCACGTTTGCGAGCAAAACTGCTACTAAGCATGCACGGCGTACGTGCACACTCAAGCTTGGAAAGATGCATGTGCGCTCCTGCGAGTGTCCCACGATCCAGTGGGCAGGCCTGGACGCCTACTGACCACAGCTGAAACAACTAGAAAATGGTTACCCCAATGACAGGAGTTCCCCACAAATCAAAATAAAACCAGCTAGGAACACACAGACAGTAGCCAGTACCTATACCGTGCTCCCGATGCCCTCTAGTGGCAAACATGAAAAGGACACATTGTGGATACCTGGCCCTGCTTGGCTGCATAGGTAGTAGTGGTGCTTTGCATAAAATCTTTTATTTTGCCCTCGGAAATGAAGGTATTAAAATATACACCCCTCTGTCCATGCTTGTTTCTTTTCTCTTTCTTAATTTTTTTTAAAATAGAAAAAAGAAAAGGGCAAACTTACCAATCCCATCACAGGGGCTCTGCTAATAGACACCCAATCTTCACCCATCATGGTGGGTCTTGCCACTTAAAAGACCTTCAAGGATCCAGTTCCCCTATGTTTTTTGGGGTCTACTCCCTTGAACCTGTATAGCACCTTGCCAGAACACTGCCTTGGACCTTTAACAAAAATGCACAGGGATCCATAATGCAGGGTCT